GTGTGTGTGTGTGTGTGTGTGTGTGTGTGTGTATGATTATGTTTGTATGTGTGTATGTATGTATGTATGTATATGTATGTATGTATGTATGTATGTATGTATGTATGTAATTAAGTGTATATATATTTATATATAAATAGAAATACACATAAAACCTTCAAATCGATGTTTTGGTCAACAGGCTGGATACAGAATGTCACACATACCGAGAGCACAAACAGAGCAGCCGCTCTTACCAGCATGCAAAGAAGCAACTACTCACACAGGTCAGTGACTACGATAACCTCCACAAACACTGCGAATACACCTTCAGTGTGCGTATCTGTTGTGTGTGCAGATTCTGCGTGTGCATTTGATTTTATCGAGCAAGCATGCAGTACTAACTGCCCAGTGTAAGCCAACAAATAGGTGCGCGTGTATACTTTAAGTACTGATACATGTACGAGACTATCTATCGAGTGTGTGTCCGTGGATATGATTGGATAAATTTTATCATGTGGAAATTGCTGGACGTGTAGGTCCTGTAGTTGAACAAAGGTTGATGTACCATGTCTGCATGGTCAAAGTAGAAGAACTATAGTCCCCTATTATTTGAGACGAAGTTACTAGGACTATCTGCTATGTTCCACCACAGAATTTAAACCTTGGTAACTAGCACCCAGCTTCAAGAACAAGGTACATACTATTTACTAATACCACTACTCTAGAGGTAACGAAGGCAGCGTGTGTGGCAATACTATTTCATCGTATGAACAAATCAAAAACTTTCCAAACTATTTGACATAATCTATATTTTGAATGTACAAAATATACAATCGGGTTTGACCCAGTGGTATTGTGTTTCGCAGTCTCCTTCTGGAGGCACAGGTTCGAGTCCTGTCACTGTCAAAAAAGAAGGTTAGGCAGTGTGGCCGAGTGGTCTAAGGCGCTGTGTTCAGGAGATCACAAATTAATTTTTTTTGAATCATTTATAATTTTTTATTTTGGATAATATTCTAGAAGTTCATGACTGCTTATAGAGGTTAGGTATGGGGTTTGCTTAGGCTGTCTGTACCGTCTTTGGCCTATCTATATCGCCGTCGCAAATAGTTATGTATACTAATTTTTTAACATCAGGGGAAATTCAGCTATTCAATAGGATTCTACACAGGAATGGTAGAGACTTCGAATGAAGAAGTTTTACTTTACTATTGTGCAAACTTCTATTCGTTTAACTTGGAAGATGTATAATCCTGCTGATAAATAGCATTTGTTACAGGGATGGTAGGGTACACGCTTTGTAGATTTCAGAGTCGGTGCAGTACCATGAATTCAATTCAGATAAAGACACAGAAACAGACCGTCTCCTATATTCATAGTTAGTACTGGTTGTAATGAGTTTTCGGTTATAAAATCAGCTGATACAGTTACAGCTGACGTGCTTTGTGGGTGGTTCGATCAGACCCCTCCGAAATACTACAGTTATATTTCATAGAAGCAGATTAGAAACTCTACACCAATACTTACTGAATTTACGGTCTTTTGCCAGTGGGGTATCAAAAAAAATCTGACTTATTAGGCAAGAACCATTTTACGATAAAGTTTTATTCTCTAACACCTGAGGTTTATTTTCTAACATCTGAGCCTATAGACATTTAGTGCGCACCACACGCTTATATATACATCAATTAATATCTGTACAAATTTCTTGTCGCTTATACAGCGCTTCACCACATGGCTAAAGAATGATCCGATCTACGAAGCATTTAGTCTGGAGGATGTCAGGTGACTTCGGTTTACATTACCACAGATTACATCATGTCAATAACATGCTATATATATATATATATATATATATATATATATATATATATATATATATATATATATATATATATATATATTATATATATATACATATTATATATATATACTATATATATATATTTACATATTCAAAGTATATATATATATCAAAAAATCAAAAATTTATTCAGTGCTAAACTACGCACGCGAGCTTCCTCACTCCTTTATTGTCAGCAACTACTAATCCATAGCCCCCTTAATTACCACCCAATCATGGAAGACATCATCAGCTGCTGACGATATACAGACAACTCAATCATGACTCCTATGTATGATATCCATCCAGACGCCTGAATCTCCTCGCCCCATTCTGTATCGTTCACGACTATGGGCATCGCAAAAAAAAATATTGCATATAAAAGGCACGCACGTTGCACAGCAGCAGTCGTTATGAATAAACATTCCTGCTTAGAATATATACCCGATTCTCTTCGTTACCCTCCAGAAAAGAAGATGCCGCTAGTAATACATCATCGCATACTATACTCCTCGTCATGTCACTACGGAATCAAACGCACCTCCAAAGCACAGTCATCCAAACAAGTGCGATCTCATAGCCCTGAAAAAATAGAATCCAGCGCACTACCGCTTTCATGATCTCACACGTTCCTCGCGATACAATCCAACGACCTCCCATTACATTCCGCATAGCTGTACAGGATGTAACTTACTTGTACACTCTAGCCCCCCGTTACAACACCTCGATGTGCCAATTAAACACACGAAAAAATTAAATAGATACGCACATACTATACAAGTAAATATATCAAACTCGTACTATATAAGTACACATTTACAGCGTGCTCGGTGGTCTATGCGCTATCCATCTCTCGCCCTCTCTGCGCACAAAAATCTACTTCGTCTTGGTAGCTGTCTGTCGCTTAGTACGTAACATGCGTTGATCCTCTGCCATGGCTTTTCTTAGGTCCTCCGCATATTGATCGATAGTGAAGTGTTTGCTGACAGGTGCGGGAGCCTTATTGTTCTTGCGGCGCAATACGGCTGCGACATGCTCTGCTCGCTGCTTTCGGATATTCCTGTACATGATAATATAGTCAATGAGATTGGTTCGCGCTGACGATCATGTAAGTGCGTGTAGCAAAATCGGGTGCTCCGATTGATATGTAACAGCCAGCACTCATCGAATCAGATTATATACTTCCGATTGTGTACAATCACCTGAAATATTCATATATATACATATTTGTATATATACACACACATATATATATATATATAAGAGTATGTGTATTCACATATATATATATCTATCTATATATATATATATATAAATATATATATATATATGTGTGTGTGTGTGTGTGTAGATATGCGCGCCTGTGTGTTGGAATTTCAGATGTACATAGATGTATACATGCACATCTAAATTTTCTTTGAAACCACATGCGCAATTCACAGATGCGCTCCTCGTAACAACGGTCCAATACAAATTTGTGATCGCACATACTTCTGAACGCGATGAGCTTCCATACGATCACTATGCCTATCAAAATAAACACTTATGCCTACTACCTACTATCAAACATGGAAATGCACATGATTTACTGATATCATAATCCTAATGATCCTTTAGTATATTGTGTTTGTGCATGACTACCTTGGAAAACTTATATATACACTGGCACAAGTGCGCGTATCTGCGCGGAAAGTTGGCAACATTTTGTATCAGATAGAATTGACAAAGGGCCTTTCGTGTGCGTATGCCTTAACATGCGAGCGAATTTTTTTTGAAAGTAGTCACAGACTAAATACTTGTATTGCATACACTGTGGCTCAAATTACATATGATAATCTCTTGTACGGAATATTCAACGTGTTTACAAGAATATCACCCCCCAACAGTAGAGGCTAGAGGTTTTGATGGTAGCTTACCTGACTTGGTGTCCCGTATACCGATTCGCCAACTGCACCAGTGATTGCCGCATTATTTCAACTGTTGTCAGACAGGATGCTCGCGCTTTCTGCGTATGAATTTCTAGTGTTCTCTTGAATCCTATCCTTTATATTTTGACGGATGTTGCACATAGACAAAACAAAAATAAATACATACTCAAATAGAAACATCAAGTGTGCATACAAAATATTAAATTTGGCCTCGCTACTGGCTGTTCGGTACAAAATCAGGAGTGGTGTTCCATTCCAGGGTTTTGTATTTACATTAAATAGGGTTGAGTCTCTCATCTGACATTTTTTCAACAAGAAGCGACATTGATCATTTGATGTTTCAAACTTTCAATTGAAGGCTTTATACGTAGAGTTTTAAAATCATAGATATCCTTCTGAGAACATTTGTGTACACACACACCCACACACCCACACACCCACACACCCACACAGAAAGAAGCCGGCTGTATGCTTTGATTTTGTATGATTTATATAAAAAAATGTACTTTGAAAAACACAAACACACGTGAAGGACTCTGAACAACTGCTGCCTCTGTTTAAAAAAAACCAGAGTCTCAACTACACAAGTTCTCTACTCTCAACTTCACAAGTTCTCTACTCTCAACTTCACAAGTTCTCTACTCTCAACTTCACAAGTTCTCTACTTTCAACTTCACAAGTTCTCTACTCTTAACTTCCACCTACAATACAAGCCACAAGTCTTAAGTCTCATGACAGTCTCATGCGTGATATTTATGTTCAATATATGTACAGTGTTTATAAATATTGTATGTAATATACACGTTTTGTTTGTGTTCTTAATGTGTTTTAATGTCAAGTCGCAACCCCTTCCACTATTTATTTATCTGTCAGGACTACTGGGACAACGAATCATCAAATACCACGGAACCATAATGGCGACCGAATGAGTGCGTGAATGAGTGCGTGTGTGCAAGATACAGTCGGTAAGAATCTGCCCGCGATGTTTTACTTGTTTCGATTGATATATATATATATATGTGTGTGATATTTTCAAAATGTTCTCCATCAGGGGTACTAAAACACACGTATACTGTCTGCTCTTTACAAATTGATATATATATATATATATATATATATATATATATATAAGTAATATATATATATATATATATATATTATATTATCTATATATATATATATATATATA